TTAATTGAACTTATTAAAGAATAGGCATAGCATATAATTAGTAGATATTATACTAAAAATTAACTATTTATTATTCCTAATCAACTATATGTTATAAATAATCATTTTTAATGTTTTCCTTTAATTTTAATATTGTTGTTGTTATTATTATTATTGTTAATTTTTATACTTGTACTATTGCGACGGTCTACAGGTTTTTTTTTCATATATGATTTTCTATAAAAGTCATAAAACATATAAAATACAATAAAAACATTAGGTATAAAAATCAATCCATAAATATTTGGTACTTGGCAGCTAGGAGTCAAATAAAATATCGAGTTAACGATCAAAATACAAAATTGTACCTAGAAAAAAAAAACAAGGGTCAACATTAAATATATGTATGACTGCGTTGTAGTTGTAGTAACATAGAATATGCTAATGATTTATGTAAAATAATGTTAGTTTTATGCACATATATTGAAACGAACTCCGAGACAAAAAAAAATTGTCGGCTATACAACCGTTACAAGAACATTAAAACTCGTGTTTTATTCAATGTTTTGTTAAAATCTGGAACTGATTTTAAAAGTCTAATTTTAAATATATCTAAACGTAAATATTTAAACTACGTATTTACCATTTGTATGATTGTAATATACTTTTTGTAACTGTTAATTTTGTTTTGTATTCCTGGACCCATAGATGATAATAAGTAATATGAATACATAACCATGTGAACCATATTGTTTAATATAACAGGTATCCGTACAATACCACCTGAAAAATTGTTTTAAAAATGTATTTTTWAAAAAAAATCTTAAATATTGGTGAAATATTTATTTTGGTATCATAAATAGTAAAAATGTTAATGCCCTGGATAAGAATTGAGATTAATTAGAAATTGTGATACATTTTTATATTATTATACCTATTTAGGCACTAAAAGTTTTTATAATTATTTTAATACAAAACTATTCTCGTAAAGTCATTACCTACTGGATCATGAAATTTTGAGTTTGGATAACTCGGTAATTCGGAGTCCAAAGTTCCATGTATAAAAATAGAGCTTGACTGACTTTAGAGAACTGAAGGATTTAACAACTTAAAATATCAGCCGAATACGATAGGTCTCAAAATTAAATTTGTATTCTAGTTAGCAGTTGGGTTCCAATTATTTTAGGTTCTGCACAACTATACACTAGTTTGATCTAGGATTTGGTTTGGTTACGTAATTTTGCGGTCGTGGTAATTTTGATATGCGTCACATATTGCGTATATTAAATGTTTGTTTTAAGTAACATCACTAATATCAATAGTGATAAAAATGATTAATTCAGAAATATCCCATGTTAAAAAATACACAATGAAATGTATGCATTTAATTGTCTCGCATTTAATTACTACGTATACAAATCTTTGACTCTGTATACTTACTGAAAAATATTCGGGATCTARCTAGTTAAGTATCTTAAATAATCTGAAATCCATTTATAATACTACCTAGTACCTAGTCCAGGGTCTTCAATTTASAGGACTCCTTATCGTTATTTGAAGTTCTTGAACACATTTTATGCATAACATGTATTTTATTACGAATACGACCAGCGAGATTTTTATGAATAATAGGTGGCCCACTGTTGAATATTCCAGAAACCCCTGACCTAGTCTTGCATAGTATATAGTCTGCCAAAAATGTATGTTTTTTTACGATCCCTTTCCAAAGAATAACTCCCATATTTAAATGTATATGCCCTAGAATCTAGATACTACTTCTTATTTTTAATTTTGAAACCAAAATATTTAGAATCTATTATATATATTCCTATAGTATCATTATATTTTTTTAATTGGATTAGTTGAGCGTTTTACTCTAACTCGATAAGCCTTTAATGACTATTAATTATAATGATCTTAAAAACATTAGGTGGATTACCTGGGTTAATTCTTGAGGCGATCCATATTAAAAAAAAAGTTGTTATATGGTGGTATATGTGAAGTGCAGAAACTTGATTTTGTTTTTTCCGGAGTACAAAGAAAATCTATAAAAATAAAAAATATTTTTTCATTATTTAGTTAACAATGAATTTATCTAATAAAAATAGCGGTATTGATAAATAAGTATAATGCATTCTAATAAATGGTCTTACAGTCTCAATGAATTCAGATAATTTTAAAATTGTCGTCCACCATACTAGTTTTGCTGCCTGAAAAAGAAATATATATATATAAGCAACTAAATAAATTTCTTTATGCAAATACATTTTATTGTAGTAATTATTACGTATAATGCTGTTGGATCATCAGACACGTCTAAAGGATCACACCCCATTTTTGGTTTTGTTTTGAAATACTATAAAATAAATATATATGTGTTTATGATATTTTATGACAGATGATTACAAAAGTGTTCAATAGGATAATATAAAAATTTAGTTATTGTTAAAAATATCAGAAATTAATCACCTCCACAGTCAGATATATACAAGCCAATATTTGTGCCGTGTTGTAGATTGCCAAAACTTTTCGAAGCGTATAAGGCTTTTTATTTGCCATATAGTTTGGACCAACAAATTTGACAAAAATAATATATATTACAGCTAACAATACAGGGATTGCCGTTGTCGACATCATAGGCCAATCTTTAGTTCTCCAGTCTAAAAATTAAAAATTGAATAATACTTTTTATAATTAAATAAATGTAAAAAAATCTTACCTGGGTCAATTTGCCCATCAAGGATTTCAAACCACGTCATAAATTCCATTTTTATTGTAGGATAGGTAATTTTGAAAATAATAATAATAATTTTATTTAAAGAACACCCATAAATGTTAATTATATTAATTTATTAATTGCGTCTAATGAACTATAAAAATATAAGCTGTAAAAAGAACTCTATGCACTACAATGTTTAAACTTTAAAAAAATTCAACTAGGTAGCTATTAACTTGCCATCGATAATGTTCTATCATTGACCAACGTTGTGTCATCTTCACGGTTCTGATAAAAGGTTTGGGAAAGCGCTTTTAATATATGCAACACTATTCATGGTTCAAGAAGACATTATTTCCTGCTCATCAAAGATTCATGAATTAAAATCTAAGGTCAAAGACCTCATTATGATAACTTTAAACGGKGTATTCCAGTGAGGAAAAAAATTGTCCTATATTTAACTAAGAATAAACTGAATATTCCTATTTCAATAAAACTTATTTTTCCATTTTTCTATTTACAATTCAACTATAAAATATATGTAAAATTTATATTTGAATAATTATATTTTATTATTCATCACACAAGTAGAAAAATAAAATTATTGAACATGTGGTAGGTAGTTATAAAAATACATATAAATGAAACAATTATGGAATATTCATTGAATATCTATTAAATAAGCAAATAATTGTACATTTATTTTATAAAATAAATTATGAATTACATTTTGTTAGTGCTTTAAATCTATTTATAAACTACATACCTAATAATACATAAGCYATATAATAACAATTTTGTTTTATAAGTATTCAAACGAGTGATGCACTGAAATGGTTTCAAATGATTGATTTTTTTCTCTCGTGACTTCTATTATCTTTGTGTTTGAATGTATCTATAATTTAAAAAAGTAAAATAAAATATAAGTGATAACTGAGATAAAGTCAGAAAAATGTTATCATAATTCGATATATTACGAAGTTTATACGACTAGAACACATATTTATAAAATAACATTTTTTAGAAGTAGTGAATTGTAGGAGGTGGAGGAATGTTTTCWTCAATCTTAATATGCTTATTTATAGTTAACACTCAATTATATTTCCAATTTCCATATACATTAAACGACTTACACATTATATTTATTTTTTTGTTCTATATTTAAAAAAGATATTTTTCTAAAAATTCACTTAAAAATAATGTTTTCAGCATTATTTTTTTTGTAAATATTAATTTATTCTTTAACGGTGGATTTTTACTTTAGTCTCGGGAAAAAATGGTACGTGGTGTACGTCGAGGCTGTGTTCGTTTGAAAGGAGCTATGATTGGCATTGATGATGAAGATAATCTTACATTTACTGTAACAGTAGATGGTAAAACATTCCATTTTCAAGCAAGGACTCGTGCTGACCGAGAACTTTGGATACGTGCATTAGAAGATACCATACAAAAACAGTTATTTGGAAATAGAATTAATCAAATACAGGTAATTACAAAATTACAATAAAATATTTTTTTAGTATACGGTTTGTGYAGTAATTGTTATAAGTTAACTATTGCAATAAATTACCTATCTAATAATTACCTATTTGACTTTTGTCATGAACAAAAAATAATATTTCTTAGTTGAATATGGTATAAATGTTGAGTAATTTTGTTTTACTCGTTATAAAATTATAAAATTAATTATTGTTAATTATATTGTAACAAAGTATATCTCCTACAATAAATTTGAAAATGTTTATTATTTCACATTTTTCTTTTTTCTGAAAACAAACGATATCTAAGTGCAGCTTCAAACATTTAATATATATATATATTATACA